TAGTTTAGTTGTTTGGGTTTTTGTTTTGTTTTGTTTGCTGTTTTCTCCTTGCCTATGCTTTGTTTACTCTGTTACTCTTTTCTTTTGGTTTATTTTTAGTTCTCTTACTAGAAGTTTTCTTTAGATGGTCACTAGTTGTCTGCTCATATCTAAATGGGAGACTAAAAAATATATTGAAGGTCCCTAAGTGAGTGGACTGGGCTTGATTTTATCTTAAAGAAATCTAGCAGAATCATTTCCTTAGGAAAACTCAAACTACTTTTCATTCAGTGCTGTTGGATCAGCCAGAAGGTCTCCTGTTTTTCCCCAGGCTGCATGACCATCAGCGATCAGGAAACGGGCAGGGAATAGGGCTGTCCTGAACTCTCATTTTTGGTATGATAGCCCTGTTCTCAGCTCTACCTGCTACCCCATAATCCATGGATTTTTCTCTCTATTGTCTTATGGGAATAAACCTCCTGTCTTCTACTGGGGTGGGGGCTGGGTAGATTGGGCAGCTGCTCAGCTGTGTTTATGTACAGGATGTGGAGGGAACTTGGGATTCTAACCATTATACATAGAATATAAATCTATCTTTGGGTTTTTTTTTTTTTTTTGTGTGTGTGTGTGTGTGTGTGTGTGTGTGTGTGTGTGTGTGTGGTGCAGGGAGTTGGTGCTTCTACTCCCACTTCCAGAAGTGACTGGGCCACCAGTTTCTGGGCCTTTGGGGAATTCTCAGGCATAAATTGGGTCAAATCTTGAATTTTTCTATTGTTTTTTTTTTTAAATATTTTATTTATTCATGAGAGACACAGAGAGAGAGGCAGAGACTTAGGCAGAGGGAGAAGCAGGCTCCCTGCCGTGAGCCTGATGTGGGACTCCATCCCAGGACTCCGGGATCATGACCTGAGCCGAAGGCAGATGCTCAACCACTGAGCTACCCAGGTGCCCTGAATCTTGGATTTTTCTATTTGCTAGCTTAAGATGCAGTTCTCTTGGGTCTGCTAAGCCCATTATTGCTCATCTTTCATCTTTCCATCTTCTAAAACTTTGATGGTGTTTTCTCCTCATCTCTTTGCTTTCACAGGTAATAGATCTTTTAGGTATACCTTTAGTGTCACTTTAGTGGGATATCCAGAAGCAAAAGTACATGCATGTGTTTAATCTGCTGTCTTTAATAAAATCTTTTTAAACATCAAAATAATAAAGAATTTATTTGTCATTATTCTTTTCAACGAAATTTTTCCTCTGTGAAAAAGAGAAAATGATGAGAATAAGACCCTTCATGCTGTAGTTCTGGACAACCGGAACACTGGCTTATCTACCCAACAAGGCCACAGATCCTTAGCAGCCTGGCTTTATTTAGCTAGGGCTATACCTTATTGCACTTGTAGTATGTTTTTGAGATCATCTGTGACCTTTTGAGTCTCTTTGTAATTCTGCAGAGATTTGCCTCTTTCCTTACTGTTGGATCTGAGGAATTCTTGAACTAGGGTAACCTCAAATTTTGTGATTTGGGCTTTTGTTCTTCTGTTTATGTATCTGTGTCTTTCAGCAGTATTTTTCTGCCAGTCATATCAGATTTTGCCCTTTTAACTTCTGCCTTTTTGCATGAATAGTTTGACTTTGAGTTATTATTTAGTATTCTCAGATTGTCTTGAGGGGGCATGCTTAGGTTCATTTTTGTCTTAGGAGTCTGATGGCTTAGTGTTAATTTAAGAGTAACCCACTGGTCTAGACTGAATGTTTATGTCCCTTCAGAATTCACATGTTGAAGACCTAGCATTTGAGACAAGGCCTCTAAGGAAATAATTAAGGTTAAGTGAAGGTCATAAAATGAGGCCCTGATGTGATAGGATTGGTGTCCTTGTAAGATGAGATATCTCCACACGCACTGAGAAAGGAACCTTGAAGCCAGAGTGAGAAGGTGGCCATCTACTGGAAGCTTCTTCTTTGACTTCTAGCCTCCAGAACTGTAGGAAAGTTAACATCCACTGTTTAAGCCATCCAGTCTGTGGTATTTTGTTATGGTAGCCCACATAGCTAATACACCTGTCATGTGTTACATCTGCTTGGGCTTCTAGTTTATTTTCTTAGACGTTGGCAATCAGAGTTGTCACTTGTCAGATGTTAGCTTACACTTGTCATATTTGTGCAACTGACTTCCTCTATTTTAAGCCGGAGTTAGGATTCTGTAGTCAGAGGAGACCAGATCTAACTGCATTAGGGATTAGGGAACCTAGCAGCCTGTAGCAGGTGACTTTTTTTTTTTTTTTAATGAGATCATTGCCTATAGTTTTGTGAAAGTTGTGTTTCCAGAGGATGTGTGCATGTTTGTGTGTACTAGACTAAGAAAATATGTTTCTTATTTTAAGTTGTGGTGGAAAAAGATTTTAAGTCTGTTGGTCTAGTTTAAGCTAATCCTTTAGTCCCTGTTAGAATACCCATGACAAGTGATGATGGTTGGAGTTTGAGGGAAAAGGAAGACCTAGAGATCTAAACCCCAAAGGAAGAGGCATAGGGAAGAGGAGAATTCAGTTATTTGCTTCACCCAGCAAGTGAAGCAAAGCACCCCTGGGAGGATTTTTCTAGTGGGACCAAACTCCTGGAGGGCTTGGGAGTGATTTATCACATCTTTCTCTGCACTCCCAAAGTGCCTTGTGCCTACCCTCACTCACTGCACACCCCAGGTTATATTATCATTATTTCTTCAGTGTCTGTGACTAAGCCAAGTCCATAGTTAGCACTCCATAACTGGTATAGGTAGGAATAAAAGGTAGCCATCATTATTGGCCTTATTTTACTGTCATACACGGTAATGACATGTAACTCCTGCATTAGCTGGAGTGTTACCCCAATTCCAGTAAGGTGTGAGTATTGCACCTCCTCTGGTGAATACACTGTGAAAACAGCACATTGAAGCCAATAGTAGCAAAAGCCCATTCTCTGTCTCAAGATGTCAGTAGAACAGGTGGAAATGTTCTTCATCGTGTGGTCCTCTAGCTTTCTTAAGAGGTGAGGAGAAAGAGGCTAGGCCTTTGTATGTCCTAAGTGCCAGCATAACTTAAAAGTCAGATATATTTGCAAAGCCAGCAGTTGATATGGGGTAGAATGGGCTAAGGAGGTAACTACAGAAACAATTCTAATATGTCATGGGCCAAGTTCAGGATAATGAGGTCATGTGGCAGGTGAACTGTCATCATCTAGAGGGATTCAGGAAGACTTTCCAGAGCAAAGGGGGTTTATGAGGGAACCTGAGGCATGAGTAGGTGTTAATCAGACAGAAGGAGTAGGATAGGAATCACACGAGAGGGAGTTTTTACCTCATGAAGAGCCTCCAGATGGAGGTTTGATATTTATACTGTCCGTTCTCCATAATGGGGCTCTATTCTGTTGTAGGCATAGTGAGCTCAGAATCTCAGTCTACAGAAGGTAGAAACAGCCAAAACTGGCTCCATCAGCAGGAGGACCATCACAGAGTCTCAGTAGTGAGGACCTGTGTTAGGGTGGTGTCAAGACAATAGAAATACTACTAAGGAGGAATCCACAGGGCCTGACGTTTTTTGGATAGAGGAGCCAGGGAGGGGTCAGGGCACTTTTGATTCTGGACTTCTGAGGCTCAGTATCCAGGGATGACTGATGATTTTCATGGTAGTAAAGAATATTTGAGAGCAGTCTGTCTTGGGAGGGAAAATGATGGGGAGATGGAGATTTTGTACATTGGGTTGTAGAGTTCATAGAAGCCCTTGGGGCACCATTTCAAAGAATAGTCTTATTAGAAGAAAATTTCTCATGATTCATAGATAGACTAAACTTTTCCATTTATTTGTTTTTTTTTTTCCCCCACTAGAAACCTCTTAGCTGTTGGGTAAAAAAATCACATGTAACTGGAATTTAGCATATTTTAATATTCTGGATCCAGGAAGCTATACATTTTCAGTATTTCTCTTGGGTAGAACATGAAATTGTTACTTCACTTGGTTTGTAATCAGGGCTTTTTAGAAGACAGCAGCTTAACCGAACGATTTGTCTGTTCATAAATCAGGTATCTATGTATTATATATTTACACAAATGAGTTTCAAATAGATGCTTTGAGTCAAAAAGCCTTCACAGTTCAATTAGTAATACCTTCAGAGCTTCATCAACTTATTTTGTTTTCTTCATTCCTGGTCATTATTATGCAATGACTTTTGAGAAGCAATTTTCTTAAGAGGACAAATTGGATTATTCCCCTTTAGTCAATTGAATTCTTAACAAGGCTTTCCACTAATGAGGTACTGTATCCATGTTAGGTTAAACAGGCCAGTTTGAGCCATTTAGTTAGCATTTCAGAATTAGGAGTCATTGATTAAAGCTCCACTAATAACTCAAGGAAAGTTTAATAATAAAATGAATTCTAGGGGATCCCTGGGTGGCTCAGTGGTTTGGCACCTGCCTTTGGCCCAGGGCGCGATCTTGGAGTCCCGGGATCGAGTCCCACGTCAGGCTCCTGGCATGGAGCTTGCTTCTCTTTCCTCTTGTGTCTCTGCCTCTCTCTCTCTCTCTCTCTCTCATAAATAAATAAATAAATCTTTAAAAAAATAAATAAAATGAATTCTACTAGGTGCTGCTAACACAACCAAGAAAATTCATACCAAATAAAAAGTGGCAACAACAGGAATTAGAATTAGCTAGTCAATTAACACGTGATAATGCCAAAAAAATTTAATTAACCTTCCTTCAGTGATACTGCTGAAGATGAACTTGACTTGCAATTCCAGGATGAGTTCTTTATTCAGCAGTTGGGTCTTCCACGTCCAGCATGGCAGCAGTCCTAGGGGAAAAGAACCCCTCCCCCCCGCCCTTTGACTGTCGTTCATTCTGCTTTCATATGGAACTATATCTGGAGCATGAAAGAACTTACTTTAACTTGATAGGGAGAAAATAAATCAGGCTTATTTTTGAATTTTTAAAATATTTATTATTTTATTTTTAATGGATGTTTTTACTTCTGACATGACATGAAACTGTTTCTTTCCAGTTTAAGATTGGTAGAGAATGGTGGACATGGATCGATTATAACCGCTTCCAAGAGCTCGTGCAGGGATATGAAGATAGTGGTGGATCAGCAACTTTCAGCGCAGAGGATTATATGGCGAAAACTCCTCACTGGGCATTATTTGGTGCCGGTGAAAGAGGTTTTGATCCCAAGGACACACGATATCAGAGAAAGAACAAATCAAAGGATATTTCTGGATGTTGAGATTATCTGACTGCAGGTTACTGAAGGACAAGAACTGATGGCCCCAGAAGGTTCTCACCCTCCACGGTGATTTTTCTCAAGGACACATTACACAATTATATTTCATGTAAAGGAGATTGTAAGGCTGCACATGGGGACACGAGTCACGTCCCAGGGTTGGGACTCAGCCCCACCATTTCTTTCCACAGCTCAGTCCCTCTCTTGATTGGACTTCTTAGAGGACCATCATTTCAGGGATACAGTCATTAGAATGGAGCTGATGGTTCTGAGTTATAATTTGTCAGACTCGCTAAGATGCTATTCCAGGGGGTGTTGTAAGGAATGAATGTGGGTTTCTCTTCCCCCTCCTGGGCTATTGGCCTCTGGATTGTTCCACCCCAAGGTAAGTGTATCTGCTCCCTCCAGGACCTCCATCTCTTCCTTGTATCTTAAGATAACACTTCCCGGGAGTCATTCAAGTTGTCATAATTCTTGATTATTTTTCAATACCATATAGATTACATTAAATTTTTGCTTAGTGCCAGCCCTTTGTGAAATTGAATTGGTCTAAATGTACTACTAGATCTCATTCCATTCTCATACAAATTGCCATAGAAGGTATGTGGGGGCTGTATTAATGTCAGAACTCTTCTATAGGAGGAATGGCCCTGTGATGCCATAGAGTAATTAGTGTCAGACAGACTTTGAAACTCAGTGCAGTTTGCTTTTGGTTTAAAAAGTCAGTGTTTAAGCTCCTAACCTACCCACAGAGCAGGTCCCTACTTTCTTTTCCTTCCTGTAGCCCGAGCTACTTTACACAATCTGTTCTTTTAGGGTTCAAGTTTTTTCTGATTGAAAACATCATTAAATGCTCAATAGTTTTTAAAAATATTATAGTTATTTTTTAAAATTCCTATATCCTAAAAATTTAATTAATAAAATCTTTTGTAAAGAGTAAATTTTTCTTTTGTTTTAAAGATGTTTCTAGTCCTGTGGTTCGAAGCCCTATCAGATAGACCTCCTCCTTATGTAACAGCTATTTTATAAACCCTCTATTTTCTGCTGAAGTAAAATTCCTAGATAATATAACCTGCCTACTTGCTCAGTTGATAACTAGGCTCTGTATTTATTTCTAAGTGATAGAGTCAGAACCCTTCTCTGTTGTGCCATGGGAGGGGAAGGTGGCAAAGTATCACAGAAACCATCTTCAAACTTCTATTTGGTCTCTTGTTCTGGTGACTTAGGAGACAGACAAGAGACAGGAGTGGTGCAAGCCAGTGAGGCAAGATCACACTGAAACCTGGATGAGTTAGTATTCATTGAACAGAGATGCAAAAACACCCTAAAGTGGAATGAAGTTAAAAAAGCAAGAGCTTATGCCGAGGGTGGGAGGCTGGAGGCAGAACATGCAGGGCTTTGGACTATTGTCAACCTCTTTTTTAACCACAGTAAGGACTTTAGTGAACCCACTTTCCCTCTAAAACAAAGAAAATATAGGCAGAGTGACTAAAAATCAGTGAATTTTAGAATTTTGACACTTAACCAAATCTTCACAATGAATTGAAAATCAACTTTAAGAGATAAATCAATAAAATTAATTGTCAACTTCTCATCACAAACTGTGAAGGCGGGGTACTGGTTGGCTCAGTGGTTAAGTGTCTGCCTTTGGCTCGGGTCATGATCCTGGAGTCCTGGAATCAAGTCCCACATCAGACTTCCGGCAGGGAGCCTGCTTCTCCCTCTGCCTGTGTCTCTCTGTGTCTCTCATGAATAAATAAAATCTTTAAAAGAGAAGGAAAGAAACCGTGGAGGCCAAAGTACAGTGGGGTGGTTTATCTTCAGAGGGCTGAAAGAAAAGACTTTAAACCAACAATTCTTTGTCTAAATCCTCTTTCAAAAATAAAGAAGAAATTAAGACATTTCCAGGAAAACAAAAAGTGAGAGAATTCACCTGCAAACCTGCCCTACAAGGACTACTGAAGGGGATGCTTCAGGCTCTGATGAAAAGCACTCTAAGCACTAACTCAAAACCATGTGAGGAAGTAGTAAAAGCAACTACATAGATTTTATAAAGGACAGTATAAACGTATTTTGGTAACTCCTATTACAAAAGACAACGGCCTAAAGCAATAATTACTGAACTACATTGATGCACATGTAAAGTTGTAATTCATAGGACAGTAATAGGTCAAAGGGGTATGGAGGGAACACAGGCATATTGGAGCAACTATTGACTACCTACTAGAGAAATTAGGTTAGTATCAAATCAAAGTAGACTGTTTCAAGTTAAGACGCTGATTGTAATCCCAAGAGTAGCCACTATGAGAATAAATTTTTTAATTATGGTAAAAGAATATCATTCTGTCCCCAATTCCTATGTGTGGTCTTTTTCCCCACACCAAGCACATCTCCCACACCAGCTGGGTCTTCTACAATTCAATTAAATCCTGACACTGTCTATCCAGAGATAATGTGAGATTACCACAGGTTAAGGGCTCAGTCTCACAAGGCTGCCCCCTATCCCTTCAGATTCCAGTAGCCAACCTGGGTCATCACCTGGGCTGACCCTTGGCCATAAATTAGAGGTTCTCACAACTATCTCCTTGGGTTTGATTAATTTGCTGGAGCAGCTCACAGAACTCAGAGAAACGTTTTACTAGATTACTGGTTTATTGTAAAAGGATGTAACTCAGGAACATCCAGATGGAAAAGGAGATGCATAGGGCAAGATCTGGGGAATAGGTTCAGAGCTTCATTTCATGCCTTCTCTGAGCACTCCACTTTACCAGTAGTAGCTTTACCATTAGCTCCATGCATTTACCAACTCTGAAGCTCTCTGAACCCTGACCTTTTGAGTTTTTACAGAGGCTTTATTACGTAGGCATGGTTGATTTAATCATTGGTCATTGGCAATGAACTCCATCTCTAGTCCCTCTCCCCTCCCTAGAGGTTCTGGGGGCTAGACTAAAAGTTCCAACCCTCTAATCACCAGGTTGGTTCCCCTGGCTGCGAACCTCTGTCCTTAGGTTAAGGTTTTTCCAAAAGTCACTTCATTAACCTAACAAAAGAGATCTTTTCTGCTCTCAGCATTTAGGAAAAAATCCAAGGATTTTAGAGCTCTGTGTCAGGAACAAGGACAAAGACCAAGTAAATATTTATTATAAATCACAATATCACAAACAGCAAGGGAATTTAAAAGGTACCCTAGAGAGTATCTATTTAACACCAAAAAAAGACAGCAAGAGGAATAGAACAACAAAGAGCTAAGACATTCAAAAACAAATAGCAAAAATGTCAGGCATACATTCTACCTATGGGTGAGTATATTATGTAAATGGATTAAATACCCCCAAACAAAAGAAAGGGTTGGCAAAATCGATTTATTTATTTATTTTTTAAAGACTTATTTATTCATGAGAGACACAGACTGAGAGAGAGAGAGAGGCAGAGACATAGGCAGAGGGAGAAGCAGGCTCCTCACAGGGAGCCTGATGTGGGATTCCATCCTGGATCCCAGAATCATGACCTGAGCTGAAGGCAGACGCCCAACTGCTGAGCCACCCAGGCGTCCTGGCAAAATGGATTTAAATAAAAATCCAGGGATCCCTGGGTGGCGCAGCGGTTTGGCGCCTGCCTTTGGCCCAGGGCACGATGCTGGAGACCCGGGATCAAATCCCACGTCGGGCTCCCGGTGCATGGAGCCTGCTTCTCCCTCTGCCTGTGTCTCTGCCTCTCTCTCTCTCTGTGTGTGTGACTATCATAAATAAAAAATTATAAATAAATAAATAAATATCCAGTTATATATTCTCTGTAAGAAACTCTCTTTAGAGTCAAAGACTGAAAAAGATTTATCATGGAAGCAATAACCAAAAGAGAGCTGGAGTGGCTATACTAGTATCAAAAAACTAGACTTTAAGGTAAAAAAAAATGTTACTAGGGATGAAAAAGGACATCTTATAATACTAAATTATAGTTGAGTTATAATTTTATCTTACTAGAAAGATGTAATGATTGTAACATATACGTACCTAACAACAGAGCCCCAAAATACATGAAGCAAAACCTGACAGAATTAAAGTGAGTCACAATTCAATAATAACTGAAGACTTACATGACCACTTTGAATAGTGGGTGGAAGAACTGCACAGAAGATCAACAAGGACACAGGAGATCTGAGCAATACTGTAAACCAACTACACCTATTGGGCCTCTGGAGAGCACTCCACCCAACAACACATCATTCTTGAAGGCACATGAAACATTTCCAGTACAGACCATTTGTTAGGTCATAAAACAAGATTCAATAAATCTAAAAGGGTTGATATTACACAAATTATGTTCTGTGACTAGTGGAATGAAATTAGAAATCAACAGAAGAAAATTTTGGAAATTCACAAATATGTAGAAATTAACCAAAATCCTAAAGAAGAAATCACAGGGGATATTAGAAAAGACTGAGATAATTGAAAAAACGATCTACCAAAGCCCACTGAATGTTGCTAATAGTGCACTTAGAGGGAAATGTACTATACATTTACATTTTAAAATGTAAAATATACATTTTTAATGCCTATATTAAAAAGAAAATATATTTTGGGGCACCTGGGTAGCTCAGTTGAGCATCTGACTCTTGATTTTGGCTCAGGTCATGATCTCAGGATCTTGAGATCAAGCCCTGCATCAGTCTGTGTGCTCAGCAGAGAGTCTGCTTGAGTTTCTCTCACTCCCTCTATCCCTACCTCTTACCTGGGCTCACACTCTCTCTCTAAAATAATAATAATTAAAAAAAAGAAGATGATATATCTCAAATCAATAACATAACCTTCCATCTTAAGAAACCAGAAAAAAGAACAAACACAAAGCAAGCAAAAGAAAAAAATGTTAGAGCAGAAATAATGAAATAAAGGAAAACAAAAGAAAAATTAAAACTAAAAGTTCTTTAAAAAATGGAAGTCAATTAACCTTTAGCTAGACTAACCCCCCAAAAGACTGCAAATAACTAAAATCAGCTATAAATGCACAGCCCGTGAATATACTAAATAATATTATTATACTTAATATATTATTTAGTATATACTGTGGAGTCGGGACAAACTCATTTTTTTGAGTATGGATGGCATACAATGTTAGTTTCAGATGTACAACATAGCGATTCAAGATCTCTATATGCTATACGCTATGCTGTGCTCACTGCAAGGATGGCCACCACCTCCACATACAACACTATTACAACACCATTGACTGTATTCCCTGCACTGTACCTTTTATTCTGGTGACATTCATTCCATAACCAGAAGCCTGTATCTCTCACTCCCTTCCCTCTGGCAACCAACAGTTTGTTCTCTGTATTTATAGGTCTGCATGCTTTTTATTTGTTTATTCATTTGTTTTTTTCCACATATGAGTGAAATTGTATGGTATTTGTCTTTGATTTATTTCATTTAGCATAATACCCTCTAGGTCTTTCCATATTGTTGCAATGGCAAGATCCCATCCTTTTTAGTGGCTGTGCACTATTCCATTGCAGCTATCTACCTATCTGTT